TATAATTAGCCAGTTGGCACAATAGGAGTTAGTAATTAACTTGGCCATCATAGTCTCCATTCTCATCCTTTCCATTCTTAGCTTGTCTTGTGCCAATGCCGAACAATAATGATTTATGGTAATTAATGATCTTTGTGTAAGCTCTACATGATCACATGTAATCAATATTGAAATAATTTCGTCTCATAATTTTATCCTAAAATTTGATCCAAAAAATCATTACTCTGCCCCATATTTAACTTCCAATTAAGAGGATGCAAGTGGTGACGCCAAGTCATCTCTAAAATGTCAAGACACTACTCCATCTCTATCATAAAAAGCAGAGAGTTCAAATTTATGTCAAGAGAATTACATGCAATAAAAGAGAACAAAATAGACGCTGAAAATGTAAACAACCTAAATAAATAAAAGAAAAAAAAAACTAATTTTTAATTAATAAAAAGTTCTTGGGAGTAGGGTGATATTCTTGATTGTTGTTGGTAGTAGTGGCGTTGGAGAAGTTAGTTGCAGCCAAGTCTACATAAATAGGGCGTCGTTTTAGTACCATGTCAATGAGACCACCTTATTTCTGTAGACTCAGGGGGGGGGCCCTCCACAACATTCCCTTTTCTTGATATAGTACTATATACTTGTTGAAAGTAGAAACCTAACCCAAGTCAGTCAGCGGGGCTTACTATGGCTTGGAAACTGAGGCAGCGTCTTTGACAGACCCATCAACGCCGATGGTGGCGGACTGGACCGTCAACACAGACATGCTAGGGGAGGAAGGTCCTTCCCCGTTGAGCAAGGGGTTGTTGGCAGCAGCGTTGTTGATCAATGGGTTCCTGGAACGACATGTGGCTGTGGAGATAGCAGTGGCGAGGGAGATAGGCATGAGGCAGAGACCTTTCCCCTGTAGGTACTGCATGGCGGAGCCCATGTCCTCCTCCATTAACTTGGCCACCTGGTGCTCTGTCACCGTCAGGCTGTCGTTGGATGACGCCGTCTGAATACAATCCCCACCACCCTGAAATAAAGACAGTAAACGTAGCAGAGCATAAGCTAGCATTCCGAAACCGACATCATTGTCTTTCCCTCCCCTGATCCTGAAAATAGAAAAAAGGAGAGAAAGACAAAGACAGGGGAATCTGAGAAAGTGGGCACGCGTGCTACTTTTCTTTTGTCGTTTTGTGACGTGACACAGTATTCAGGAATTGCTTTCGTTTTTCACATGTAATGTAATTTAAGAATTCCTAATTTGTGGTTTTGGTTTCGTTTTTCACATGTAATGTAATTTAAGAATTCCTAATTTGTGGTTTTGGTACAAACAAAATTATTAAAAGGGTGTTTTCTATCCTACATTCTTAGATTATTGTGTTAAAAGTATATTTATTATATTTATATAATTAATTTATATTTTTAAAAATATAAATTAGACAGCCCTTATTAAAATGCTCACTCATTATATAATTTGTAATTACAAAATATTTTTTTATGTAATTTTCCTCACTTCATTATTTTCTTTCCTTTTCTTCACCAACTAAAACTTGTTGGACTAATTTAGTTTAGTTGTTAGAGAACGACGAATAAATATGTACTCTAATTAAATAAAATAAGAATATTTGATTGTACATCTATCACTTGTTCTCTAACTTTTAAATTAAATTGAACAAAAATTAAAGTTGAAATGAAAAATTGATCCAACAGTTAAGGTTATGCAAAAACATTTGTGTTTAAGTTCTGATCCCACCCCAAATGACAAAAAAATAATGCTTAAGTTTTTAAGAGTTTAATTGAGTTATGATTTACTATGAGTTCATAAAATTCTACAACTATTTTATATAATTTCATAAATCAACAAAATATTCAAGAAAGCTTTATATTAAAAAAAAAAATACATGAGGTAGCACTTTTATAAAGACAATGTTAATTAAAGGCCAAAAAGAAGAAAAAAAAAACACACACACACACACAATGGTAATTACCTCAGAAGACATATCAGCAACTAGCGGAGCAACGGCGGCAGCACCGCCCAATCTGCTCATGCTTAGAACCTGTAACAGAATGAAAAATAAAAATTGTATATAAATTTGCAGCAGATGCCCATACATACAGAAGGCTTAAAATAATAAAACACCCATTAATACTATAATGTCAACGAAGGACAGGGAATCTTACTTGTGATTAATTAAAATAAAGATTTAAGAATAACAAAAGAAATTAAAATAAGAAAGAAAGAAAGAAAAAAAAAATTACCTTGACTTGAAGCTGGAGGAATTTGACATAGTCGATGATCTCATCCAGCATTGAAGCCTTATCTGTCTGTCATTCCACAAAATCATAATTAATCTACTAATTGAATTCTGACACCAATTAATTAACTTTTCAGAATTAGATTAACTCCTTGATTATTCACTAAAATAAAATTTCTAGAGATCCATCATGGCTAAATTCATCCCTCCTGTAGTAGAAATCAAAATCTGTAATCAATTATGTTTTGGGGTTTAAGCATGATTAAGAATTATAAGTTTTTTTTTTTTTTGGGTTCTTTTTACCTTGTTTGCATTGGGGACGAGTTCTTGGAGAGCTTTCATTCGTTCTGCAATTCTTTCTCTGCGTAACTGCCAACCAGTGCCATTTTAGATCAGTACAGAGATGGAATAAAAATTAATTTAGCCAGTTTGGTTCGGTACAGCTGCAACTTACCCTTTCCGCGATGCTGTGGGGGTCGGTGGCTTGACCTCTACGAGCCCTGACCCTCTGCCTGGGCTGACCTGCAGAGGCACCACCGCTTGACCCACTAGCAGCTGGAGCTTGGTTAACCACCGCCGCACCTGGTGCTCCGAAATTTTGTGCTTGCATGGACCCTCCCTGAATAACAAAGACATAAATATTCCAGATTAATATGTTTCTGTGGTATTCTGTGTGTAAATTTAATTGAAGACTAAAATTGGCCATATATACCTGAGGCTGGGGGTGGTTAAAATGTTGAGGTTGGTTCGGCGCCGGCGCTGCCTGATTTGTTCCATGCAGGGATCCACCACCGAACCCATTATACAGAGCTTGCACCGAACCCTCTGCTCCCTGGAAATTAAACAAAACTCCTTAAACTCAAATCATGTTTACATCTGTAAAATTAACCATAACTAAATTTGCACGAACCCTATTGGTAGTACCTGATGATTTGCGGATTTGAAGGATGACCCGTCAACGATGTCGTTCGGATGAGTACTACCCAAGGACAACGGAACCGTAAGGCCCCCGACGTCACCAGCAGCTGACGGCCTCACCATAGCTCCGGCACCGGCGGCGCCAATTCGTCCCGCCATCATCAGCTGCTGCTGCTGCTGCATCATCATCTTCATCGCCGACTGATTCCCTCCACCGTTGATTTGATGCTGCCGGAGCTTCAAGGCTAAAATCTCATCGTAAGGAAACCCAACATTGTTCTCCGGATTAGACGCTCCCGCCGTTTCGTCGGATTTAGGTGGGTCCCAAGGGGACTTGAGGTCCGTCCAGGAGCAAGACGGAAGCGAGGAGAGCATCTGGTCGAGGAAGTCATCATGCGACGACGTGGGATCAAACTGTGGGTTTTGGATCTGCTGATGGATACCCGTATTTCCGGCGTTCTGAAGGTCCTGAAGAGGGATTTGGTGAGATGGGTTTAAGAGAGGATTCATTGCTTGCATTTCACTGCTACTACAAGGCTGCTGCATAATTTTCTTTTCTCTAAAACAAAAAAAATTTATGGATTTCAAAGGAAAGGGATTCAAACTTCAAGGGAAAGCAAGCATTTAGCGTTTTGAATATTTGACGCTGGAGAGAGTCTGAGGAAGACGAATATAGGGGAGAAGGAAGCGCAAGAGTTCCATTATTCCGGCGTCGTTTTGTTGAAAAGGAATGTCAATTGTACTACACATTGTTTGCATCCCCTAAGCGCAGTGAGTGCGCGTATCTTTCACTTTCATGAATTTTTTAATGTGGCTCTCAGTAGAATTAAGCCCTTAAAATTAAAAGAATAAGGATTTTTCTTTGTTCTTCTATTAAGTCCCTCTTGTTTCTTTACTACTCCTTTAAGGACAGAATATTTGAAAAGAATAGGCATAAAATAACCTGTAAAATAGTGGTGGCCAACAAGAATCCTATGAAATATCATACTTAATTTAATAAATTAAAATTCCCAAAAAAAAAAAAAAGAAGAAGAAGAAATCTATTGTTTGATGTGACTACAGCACATACTTCCCATGGAGGAACATTAGTTAGCGTTTGATTTAAATCAATAGACTCTGTGTTGAGTGAAGCAATGAAGGAATTTTATTTTTTATTAAAGTTCTTTTATTCGTTAAAACATTTGTACATAAAACAAATAAATTGTCTGTGCATAAAATACTTTAAATATGTAGTGATTAAGATGTATGAAATAGTATTTTATTAGAGATATGTCTCATAATTTTGAGAGTTTTTTTTATTTAAGGATATAATTTAAACCATAAAATAATAAATTATGAATTATAAACAATTTTAATTTAAAAAGATTTTTGGGATTTGATTTTTATAATTATAAATTTTATGGACTAATTAAGATTTATTTTTATTAGAGCAGTGAATTAGCTGAAGAAGATAAAGGGAAAAAAATGAAGAAAGCGACTGCTCTGCGAGAGTGCATTCCACGCACCGAGTATTGGCGTGGACTAACATTTTTTTTCCCTGGCTTATGACTTCCTAAGTCTCCCGTGGTCGGCCAGTCCCACTAAGGTTCGCTTTCAAAGAAAAGTAAATGTCGAAACTACCCTTACTTGATAAACTTTCTGATTAAAAGAGAAAGACAACTCATAAATCACAATTAATTATATCCAACTGCTATCAAATCATTCTTAACATCCATACGTGTCGATCAGAGGAAGCGAGTTTCTCTTTTAAAACTACCCGCGTGTACTGCGTAGCGCCCCCACTTTCCCTCGTTTTTAGCCAAAAGCCCCCTAATTTCGGGAATTAGTTAAGAGCGATAAATTAGACAAGCGTTAAAAGTTAACTATGAAGAAATAGGAGTAAATTAATGCCGCTCCTTCCAGTTCGAAATAATTTTTGTTTAAGTTCAAAAATAAATAAATAATTTAATAAATTATTATTTTGAATTTGTCTCAAGTTAGTTATTTTTCCTTTTATAATGTAAATAATTATTTTTTACTTTGATTTTATTTTTTTATTTTAATTATTTATTTTATCATAAAAATCTCTTTTATGTATCTTTTATTTATTTCATGAAAATAATATAAGTAAACATATAAATTATTTTAAAATTTTTAATTTTAAAAAAATTAAAATTAATTGTTATTTTTTAAAATATATATATCTTTCATATCATTCCTACCAAGCTCAAGTAGAGTTAAATAAATTTAAACTTGAGCTTGAAATCAACTCATTTATAAAATGAGCTTGAGTAATTTATGAGTTATTCTACAATGCAATTTGTTTTTTTAAAAAGAAAAAAAAAATCAGTCCCGACTAAAATAGAAAGAAATAAATAAATAAATAAATACCAGCATATACTAGTTAGATCCGCCCTTTGAACCAGGTAAGTGGTTATCCAGTGTTCAGTGAGTCATCCACCAACCCCATCATCCTTCGGTTCCTTTGGTCGCCGTCCAAGGCTTCCCCCCTCCCAATCCCAACAAATATCTCTATTCAGAAAAAGGGGAAAACATCCATCCCTTTTTCATTTTTATTTTTGGAAAGTAACATCCATTTATTCTGTTGTTTATGAATTATAGACATAAACTAAATCCAACCCAAATCGACAAATGCATGTATTTACTCGTTAAGGACATGGAACATAACTGGTTCTCAGAGAAGATCAATGGGACATGGACCATACATTTGAAGATTGTCTGAGATTATGATTTCCATCAAATTCATCATTGACCATAAATAAAAAAAAAAAAACACAATTGGATCCAATTTCACTTGGCTGGAGTTTAGGATCAAGCTGCCATGGAAGGACCATTGATCTCTCCCTTTTCTTTTTTGGTTCTTTTTCAGGTTTTTGACTAGTGGGTATTTTTCATAATGCTTTTTAATCAACATTTGCTTTTCTTACACAACAAGTATATGGGATTGTTTTCATTTTTCTCTATTCAATGCCTATATCCTAGGCTCCTAGGATCTTTTATTTTTATTCACATTCTTTTGAACTTGGGTTTATTTGTAAGACAAGCTATAGTCTATGTCTCGAATTTGATTAAAAACAAATCATTTTTGATAAAATAATTAGAGCATTTTACATATTGTTATATTCACAACATTTTCAAATATTTCTTTCTCATGTAGGTACAAACACTACTTAATGGTGTGTTTAAATTAATTAAATAGGCAAATAGGAATAAGTCTATGGGATGAAATGCTCGCCTAATTGTTCCAAAACGCGATTTGAGTCCAACAATAATGTTCTTCTTTGTGGGAATCATTCTTTAGAGCTTAAGTTAATATGGGGACAGAACCAATTCTGGTAAACAGAGGGGAAAAGGTAGCTAGGAATTAAATGGAAATATGAAAGGTCTATTGGGAAGGACAAAAAGTGTTTGTTGGTATATGTCCTTGTCTTTGTACCAATCACATCCCCACTTTTCTTCTTCTGATAGGCCCTCTTTACACCTCAACCCACACTCAATAATCAAACTATGATTAGAATCCTAGTTAGACTCATCTTATTTCTTTGTTTCTTAATAGGGTAATTTATTTTATGAGTTTTCTATTTTATGGCTTGAATTATATTGCACTATAAAATAAAAATTATTGAATGAAGGGGCATCTCCTAAAACTAATAAACTTAATTTTTTTTTAATAGTAAGTGTTGTACAGTTCAATATAATTTCAATTACACAATATTTCTTTTGTTAATTTATTTGTAAGGGAAATAAATTTTCTTTTGGTGTGTGTGTGTTTTTTTAATACATCAGATGATCAGTTATACAATAAAGAATAGTCATCTTCTTCTCTTATCCCTCCTTACCCACCTCATGATTCAAACTCAAAATTTTCAACTTAAAATTTCAAATTTTTAATCACTTGAAATACCACTCAAGAGTTTCTTTTGATGTGTTATTAATTTTAAACCAAACCCTATTCCCTTGAATTACTTTGAAAATAATATGATTTTAGTTAACCAAAAGGGGAAGAATGGGTAGAATGTGATCCATTCAACTTAATCAAATATATTATTTCAAGTTTGACCTTACAATACTTTCTATGACACTCTTCTTAATTTGAACATTTTAATTCTAGTTGAGTCACATTATACAAGAAAATTGAACTTAAAATATTTAGTATTTAAAGTTACAACAACAAATCACACAATTGCATCCCATATAATGAAATAAAGAATGTTCAAGCGATCGATTGTCAAGATGAGTGTTACTAGCAATATCCAACCTACATTGATATAAGTTGAAGAAGATCAAGAAAAGAATTTTTTAAGTCTTCAAAGAGAAAAGAAAATTCTAATTCCCTATTTTGTCAATCAATCAGCCCAATACAATTTATATGCCTATTCAACCAAGGCAAAGATGGTATGTCCATTAAGGCATCCAATTTTTCTGAGCCAACGTATCTTTTCTTGAAAAATTCTATGTTTCCTTTTCTAAATACGAAAAAAGGAGATTTTTTTTTTTTTGAGTGTCTAGTTAAAAGCAACTCGTTGGAAATTTTCAACCAAGAATTTTTCTTTTTTGTAATGAAATTTAGACCAAAAAATTAAAGTGGATATGTTTTCTTGTTAGATTAGAATGCTATTCTAGCTTTTTGAAGTATAATATATTCAACTCAGCCAATTATTCATCTCTTTTCTAGTCTAATAGATAGATCCTAAATATATATCAAATTGGAGAATCAAGACAAACATACTTTATATAGCTTTAGAGTAAAAATAATTATTTATAGGAGGTCATAGCAAATAAAACAAAACTTAAAAAGAATGAAAAGCCAAGAATCAAGTGCAAAAGGAAAAAAAAAAAAAAGAAAGAAGAAGAAAAGGATAACAAAATATTAAACAGAAAAAAAAAAAGGTGATAAAAACTCATCATCATTAAATATAAGGTGTTAAAGTTCTTTTAAAAGTTCAGGAGAAGTATACAACACTACAACTCATTAAAGTAAGTTTAATTAAGTTATTTCCTCACATGGAAAAGTTTAATTAAGTTATTTCCTCACATGGAATTTAACTATAATGTCTTCCAATTTTAGTGGAAACAATTTTAACAAATCACATCAATTATGTTTAAGCAGAGACTTACTTATAATGTCTTTTCATTAGTTAGTTTATAAATACTTATGAAACTAACCAGAGTTAAAACTCCATCTTAATGTTACCCTCAGAAAAAAAATAAATAAATAATGAATCAATCTATTAACCTAAAATAATAAACAGAGAGCTCAACATGGACTTGTAATGGGCTCCACAGATAGCGAAATGGGCTTCTTTTTTAATTAGAAATGGGCTTTTTAGTTGGCTACTTGCATTATTGGTATAACTGGTTGACTTTATTACCTTGGATTATTACACAACACCGTTATAAAGTCTACAACTAAAGATAACTTTATGTCTAAAAAAAAAAAAAAAAAAAAAAAAAAGCTTAGTCAATAGCCATAACAATATGTTCCATTAGTAGTAGTTTGATGATAACATATTAATATATAACAAATTGAGATTTAAGAATGAATCAATTTCTAATCATAGGGTTTATATAATTGACTATGAATAAATTAATTAACCCACCAAGATGCTCCCTACTGCTATTATCACTTTTTTTTTTTGAATAAATTTGAAAGAGGTTAGAATCGAGCCGTTGCCAAGAAAGGAGAGATGTACTTTATGGATGGCTTGAGGTCATTGGACTGAAGGCCCAAGTACTAGTGCTATTATCACATTTGATTTCATTAATATTATATATGCCTATTAGAGCAAATCTAAATTGTTTATCATAAGATGGTTAGGTAGAAAAGCACATGGCAATGAACAATAAATGAAAGAGAACAGAAAGACAACTCCCTCTCCATCCTACAAGATATTATTGATTTATGCAAAAAAAGACCAACAAGTAGGGGCTCAAACATCTCTTTTACTAAAAAGTTAAAGTTGAGTTATATACTGTTTTTTTTGTAAAGATTTTTTTTTTAATTTTTTTAAAAGCTGTTTTGTAACTTCCGAACTTATTACCTCTAAAGTAGATATTTTGCTGCTAAGTTTTTTGAATTTAATAATTTTTTTTTTTTTTTATGATTATGAATTCATTATCCAATATTTGTGCTCAAAATATCTACTCAACACAAAAACTACAACTAAGCCCAACTGACTCAAAATTAAATTCTACTAAAAAATTAATTAATAATACATTTCATAACATCTTATAGCTATTGAATTTGATTCATTGACAATCCTCTTTATTTTCACACATGGATGAGTATCATAATTCTACATCCAAAATTTACTTATAACATAACTAATTTGGTTTATTTATGTCCCTGGTGGGTTATAATAATACTAACCCATGGTGTAAGATGGGGAGGGTAAATTGATAACAGTGGTCTTGATCTTAGTCATCATGTTAATGCTGTTGGTAATCCCTTGTGAGCCAATGCCACTGTCTTTCAGACCCTGTTAGTGTTGCCAATATAGTGTATTAGAATCTTTAAAAACCTCAATCACATTTTGAAGAAATTATTGTTTCCAGGCGTTTTATTTAATTACCTGGAATGGGAAATGATCCGGTCCCCGTGCTGGTGCAGAGTTGATCTGAACTGTCCCCGTCTCCATTGCATCACTTATCAATACCGCCTTGTTAATGTCCTTAGTGAAAACACAACCCTGCATATTTCCAAGGGTGTTATAATGGTTACATGTATCAGATTAGAAGGTTAAATGTTGCTAACTTGAAGAAGCTAATATATGTACCTGGAGACCGAAATTACTAGCGTTGCAATGGTGGATTCCTTCTTCAATAGAATTGATCCTTAGGACAGGTAGAACAGGTCCAAATGGCTCTTCCCAAGCAATCCTCATATCAGGTCTAACATTGTCCAGCAACAATGGCCAGATTAGGTTACCGTCTCTTTTGTACTCCTGACAGAATGTTGCTCCTTTCTGTTTAGCATCCATGACCAGCCCTTCAATGAAATTTGCGGAGGACTCTGATACCACTGGGGTGATATCACAGTCGTCTTCAGGTGGACCAACTGTTAACTTTGCCACTTTTGCCTTCACCTTTTCAACTACAGCATCAGCGACAGATTCCATCACCAAGACAACCTTTACAGCAGTGCATCTTTGTCCACTGCAGGTGATTAAGGTACCAAAGAATTGATGCCATGCTAATTTCAAAGTACAAACATAAGAATCAGTGTTTCAAAGAGTTTTTTTTTTTTTTTTCTACCTGAAAGAAAATCCACCTTTTACTATGTTAGCTGCAACCAAATCTAAGTCAGCATCCTCAAG